GAGAAAAGCAGTACAATGGATATAAGAGACTAAAAACAGGTAATACTAATTTAACACGGTAGGTGTTAAATTATCATCGCAATGCCGGAAGGATGATTGCTAGTTAGTGCTCTTAAAAATGGTCGAATATACTACTTATGCGTTATAGATTTGATCTTCGCAAAGGAAAATGTCACCGGTTTCCCCTCTTGATTCCATGGCTTTTGGGCTCCAGGGTTTATTCCTCCTACACCATTTCTACTCATCTGTATTATACAGTACCTAACTGAGGGTACATTTGCCACATCTGATGATGGGGACTCTAGTCTGTGAAAACTTGTATTACAATAAATGGTAGAACTGTAAGACCATAAGCCTCTCTCTTTTTTCCTTACTAAGAATATAAGAAGAGCCCTTTTGGATTAGGCCAGTGGCCCATCTAGTCCAGCATCCTGTCTCACACAGTGGCCAATTTGTTCCTCTGGAGGGCCAGCAACAGGGCACAGAGGCCGAGGCCTTCCCCTGATATAAACATCAGAAGATCCCTGCTGGATCAGAACAGGGAGGGTCCATCTAGTCCAGCATCCTGTCTCATACAGTGGCCAACCAGTTCCTCTGGAGGGCCAACACCAGGGCAGAGAGGCCGAGGCCTTCCCCTGATAAGAACATCAGAAGAGCCCTGCTGGATCAGACCAGTGGTCCATCTAGTCCAGCATCCTGTCTCACACAGTGGCTAACCAGTTCCTCTGGAGGGCCAACACCAGGGCAGAGAGGCCGAGGCCTTCCCCTGATAAGAACATCAGAAGAGCCCTGCTGGATCAGACCAGTGGTCCATCTAGTCCAGCATCCTGTCTCACACAGTGGCTAACCAGTTCCTCTGGAGGTCCAACAACAGGGCAGAGAGGCCGAGGCCTTCCCCTGATAAGAACCTCAGAAGAGCCCTGCTGGATCAGGCCAGTGGTCCATCTAGTCCAGCATCCTGTCTCACACAGTGGCCAGCCAGTTCCTCTGGAGGTCCAACAACAGGGCACAGAGGCCGAGGCCTTCCCCCTGATGTTGCCGTTTGTCCATTCTGAACTAACTGTCCATCAGCTTCATTGGATGCCTCCGAGTTCTAATATTTTGGGAGAGGGAGAAAAAGTTCTCATTGGCTGTGGTCACACACACTAAACAATCCATTTTTCAATCCACTTTCAATGCACTTTCCAACTGGATTTTGCCATTCCCATGGTGAAACCCAGTTGGAAAGTGCACTGAAAGGGGATTATTTAATGTGTGTGCCTGCAGCCATTGTCAACTCTTTCCACGCCATCCAGAATTTTATGCATGGATTGATCAAAGAGCTGATGGTTTTCTGCCATACGGAAGGACCTCATAAGGCACAAGTACGTACTACTTCCTCTTGTTCCTCCTGAATACCAGGTTAACTCGCAGCACCTCCCAGGCGCAAGGATCTCATTACCGGAGAGAATCACGTTGCGCCTTCAGAAAGCTGCTGCCCAGACGCATGGGCTTCCAGGTAGGAGACAGTATCATTCATTCCTCTTTGGGCTTACCGTGCAGCTCCTTCTGAGCTTGCCGACTATTAATCCGCTTGCGACTAAAGTCCTTTCTAAAGAAACAAGCCCATTCTGTGCCATCCCGTTACACCCGCCTTCCAAAAGGTTACACACTCACAAGAACAATTTAATTAACCTCCCTGCCCACTAGGGCTGCCAAGTCTCGTTGAATCGTGGCGGAGGATCGTCATTCTTTACAGGAGCTCTGCCGCGGGGGACGGCAACAGGCGTTGCACCGCCGTCACCAGGATGTGACGCTACGCGTCGCTCTGGCAACAGGGCTGTTTGGAGTCCCGTTGCCAGAGCGACGCGTAGCGTCACATCCTGGC